GACAAAGACGGTAATAGAATTCAAGATTGTCCATTAGTTATTTCTGAATAGTCCTCCAAACATATTGAGATAGAAGAAAATGGTGATCAAAAGATAAAGGAAGAACAAATGCTCAATCTAATGAAGAACAATACGTTCCTCAGACATTTGCTGTTGAAGTCAAAAGGTTCGACAAAATCCCGAGATCAATAGAAAAGTATTCTGCTTCTTTGTACTATTTATAGTTGACAGATAATGGTGATCAGAGTGTTACAAAGAGGCATTCAAGTTGAAGGGTTAAATGAGAGGATGTTTAATAGAATGACAAGATGCAATCACTGAGGTCAAATCAGACATGAGATTTGGTAGAATTACCATATGGCAAAAAAAGTAATGCACAATAATTCAATTTATAGGCTAAAAGAGGAATGAGATGATAGCAAACACTACCAAGCGAGGCTTGTTGTGAAGGGGTTTCAGCAAAAAAAAAGTATACCTAGAGATATTTTTTCTTACAAAGAAGATGACAACTATCAAAGTTATTCTAAAGCTTAATAGCAAAGGAAGATTATCTTGAACAATTCAATGTGAAGGTAGCATTCCTACGTGGTGAATTAGAAGAGGAATTGTATATGGTACAGCCTCTAGGACATGAAGTTCCAGGAGAATAAGATAGTCTGCAAACTGAAGAAGCGTCATTTATGGATTGAAGCAAGCCCCAAGGTAGAAGAGGAATTGTATATGGTACATTCACAGGGATATGAAATCCCAGAAGAATAACATAGTTTGCTGAAGAAGTACATTTATGGATTGAAGCAGGCCCCAATGCATTGTGCAGGAGATTTGACAAGTTTATGTCAGATAATAGGTGCATGAAGTGTCAAGCAAATCACTATTGTTTCATCAAACTTTTCAATAATTGTTATATTATGATTCTTTTGTATGTGGGTGGCGTGCTAGTTGTAGAAGCGGATATAGATAAGATCAGGGGGGTTGAAAGAGAAATTATCAAGAGAGTTTGACAAGAAAGATTTAGGTTCAACCAAAAAGATTCTCAATATGAGAGTCAGTGGAGACAGAAGTGCAAGTACTTGGAAGTTGTCTTGGGCAGAAGATGTTGAGAATGCTTCATGGCAGAACTGCAAGTATATTGATATCACTGAGGCTAGAAATGAGATAAATTGGCTATAGGGCTTCATGGCAGAACTGGGCAATGAGTAAGAGATTTGAAAGCTTCATATAACAGTGTGATTGCAATTCATATAGCTAAAAACACTGCATTTTATGTCAAAACGAAGCACAATCATCTAAAGTATTACTAATGCGGGATCTTACCAGGTCGTGGAACTGCAGTACTGTAGCTGTTACAGCATTGCGGTCAAGCCCTTTCCTCGTCGTCCTTTCATGTTCCATCCCCTTTCTTATTTCTATCCAATTCCAATTTTCAATTCCTTTCTATTCTATTGGTTGCATTTTCTACCCCATTTCCTATTTCTACTTTCTTTCCAATTCCAATTCCTGCCAATTCATTGCTTACCACCATCCACTACTATTCCAATTTGAAATTCCTTCATGTTTCTTTGTGTTAGGATCCTTTTATATTATGTTATGATTGCCTAGGGTGGGGAGGGTTTTTATAATCGTTGATTTCTGTTGCTGCCTTTGAGGCATCCTTCACCTCGAGGAGTTGTACCCGATGATGAGAAAATGCTCAGTCTGTAACTCGTTTGAGATGTTGACCGTCTCCAAGGGTCCAAGTGGTGTTTCGGCTATAACTCAATCCTCAACAAAATAATTATCCTTTCGAATTCCCCCAACCCCATCTGCTCTTTGCCATCTCCCTGTCATCCAAGCTTCTGGTATTCTGCTATCGTCTACCAACCATCGCACAAGCCTACGAGCTCCTAATCCAACTGTTGTCCATGCTTCCAGCCGCCTTCCAACAGTCGTCCAACCTGTCGGTCGTGTTCTCGCTGTCGTCAACCCCTTTCGAGCAAGTTCTTACTACCTCCAGACCCTTCTGGGCTAATTCTTGTTGCAGCCAGTCCCTTTCGAACTAGTTCCTGCTACACTCAGACCTAACACCTATTCTTGCTACTAACCTGTCCACCTCTTACCCTACTTGCAATTGTCCCGCCTACTGTCAACTTGTCTGACTGTTCTCCAATCGGTACATCACCCCCCTACTCCATCTAGGTCGTCGCCACTTGCCGCGAGCCTCCTCCCAGAAGGCCACCATCACTTCTACGTCATCCGGACTGCAGCCACCGTCTGTCAACCACCTTCCAGCACCGTCTTCATGACCTTTATTCTCTTCAAGGCCTGCTGCTCTCCTATAGTGAGTCGTTCTGTGTTTTGTGTCGTTTTCTTATTTTGCAGTGTCGTTGTTATTACTTGTTGTTTACTTGTTTGTGTTGTTTATTATATGGAGGCGTCATCGTATCTTTATTTGAGTCGAGCAATAAAATTGTGTTGTTTGGTCATGGTTTGGGTTAACTTCAACATCATTTGGTATCAAATCTAGCCTAACTCTGATTCTATTTTAGCATTCCCAAGCATCCGCCTCTACCCAAGTCAGTCCCACCAAATTTTTTCTCCCTTAAAAGCTTCGACAAATGAGGTCAAAGCTCCCCCCACGCCGAAAGATTGACGCGGGAGCTTATCGGGTCGCGGCACTATAGCTGCTACAATGTCGCAGGTGAGGTACTATAGTTGCTATAGTACCGTGGTCTAGCCCTTTCCTCCCCCTCCTTTCCTATTCCATCCCCTTTCATATTTCTATCCAATTTCATATCCTTTCTATTGTATTGCTTGTCTTTTCTATCCCCTTTCCCATTTCTATTTCTTTTCAATTTCAATTCTTCCTTATTCATTGCCTACATTCTCTGACACCTTCCACTTCTATCTCAATTTCAAATTTCTTTCTATTTCTTTGGGTTAGGCTCCTTTTAGATTATGTTGTGTTTGCCTAGGGTGGGGAGGGTTTTGATGATTGTTGATTTCAGCTGCTTCCTTTTAAGCGTACTTTTCTGAGGCTTGTACCCGAAGAAGAGAAGGTGTCATGGTTGTAACTCATCCGAGGTGGTGACCAATCCGATTGTAGCTTGACCCACGAAGAGATATTTATCCTTCCAAATTTCTCTCCATCTGCTTGTTGTCATCTCCCCACCGTCCAACCTTCAAGTATTCCGCTTTTGTCCAGCCCCCTCGGCATCTTCCAACCACCGCACAGGTCTTCCAGTAGCCAACAGGCCTACCAGTTAAGTTTCCGCTGTCAGCAGCCCCCTGTCGGGCTAGCTCTTTCTGCCACCAGCCCCTTTCAGGCTATTCATGATGCCGCCAATGCCTTTCGGGCTAGTTCCTACTACAGGCAGACCCTTTTGAGCTAGTATCTGTTGCTGCCCAGACCTGACACCTATTCTTGTTGCTGAACCATCCACCTCTGACCCTACCTGTGGTTGTCCCGCCCACCGTCGACTCATCTGACTTTTGTTGAGTCCACCATCACATCTCCTACTCCACATCGTCGTCACTTATCGCCAGCCTCCTCCTAGGAAGCTGCCATCACTTCTACGTCATCCAGCGCTGCAATCACTGTCTGCCAACCACCTTTCATCACCCTTGTCGCATCCTTCTCTTTCGGGCCCGCTGCTCTCCTCTAGCGAGTCGTTCTATGTTTTGTGTTGTTTTCTTTCTTATTTTGCAATGTCAGCATTGTTACTTGTTTACTTATTTGTGTTGTTGCATGTTGCAAAGGCGTCATTGTATCTTCATTAAAGTTCAACAATAAAATTGTGTCGTTTGACTGTAGTTTGAGTTAGCTCTGATATCAATTACTTCATCTATTTACTCCTAGAAGATATCAATTATCTTTAAAGAACAACTTAAAATCCTACAGATATGTTGACTAAGGTAGTTATAATTGAGAAATTAACGCTACGATCGACTTCAGTTGGTGTTCATGAAGGTTGGGACCAGGCCGTGAGTCACACTACAGTACACAACTATAAAGTTCTGCAAGGTCGGAGGAGAGATTGAAATGTGCGGAGGCTGATTGTGTCAAAGAAAAATCATACCCAGCACCGGACTGGGCGCCCCAGCGCCCAACAAAGTCCTCCAGAACCGAGGGCTTAACAATCTGGTGCCTAGTGTGCCGCCTAAGCCCCGAAAGAACTTTCTCCAAAATCGAGAGCAAGGAAAAATGGCGCCCAGAAGGCAAGCAACCCCGCCCAAATATGCTTATTTCTGGTCTCGAAAACAAAGCGCTTTAAAACTCGACGTCTATAACTGAAAGTGCAATTCAACCTATAAAGGTTCCTCTTTCCTACAGAATTGGTGTGTGCAGTGCTGTTGAATTTCAGAATCTCTAGTTCGAAAGAAAGAGGAGCATCTGAAGTATTGTTCTTGAGCTTCAGGAGTGTAGAAAGATTTGAGTGTGATATAATCTTGTATATTCTTCTCATTCCTTCATAGTGAATTTGTAGGTGTGGTGGGCTACATGGTTTTTTCTCATTCTTGAATATTTCCAAGTTAAATCTTGGTGTCTCTGCATTTTTTTATGTTTTATTACTTTGTGTGCTTCTGTTCTAAGTTTTGCTTCAAATCTCTCGAATCGGTTTCCATGGTATCCTCACAACAAATGTCTAATAGCTAGCCTTAATCAAAAGTTTTTTATAATCATTGCGAACGGCAATTAACTATAGAGACTTGGGACTATAAAACTCTAGGCTATATCATAAGGATTTCACCATATGAGAATGAATTTTCTAGGAAGTGTCATGTTTAAACTTCAATCTTTTTAAAATTTTGACTTGCAAGTTATGAACTCTTTCAGAATAATTAAGCGTAAATTTTTGGAGCCCACAAAATCAAGGGTGACATGATTTTCAGACGAATTTAGTTCAATCAAAAGATGCAATGATTAATGTGATTTGGCATAACTTGGATATCTTAAATCAACATATTTTGGAGAACTATTTACTTGAAAGTACAAGAACCTCATTAAAATATAGAACAACCACCTGAACGCCATCAAGGGGTCCATTTTCATCTCGACTGCGATGAACAATAATGCCATTGTCACACTTGTTTATGAAATGTGCGCTGCCACTTATATCATACAAATTTGGCGGGTTGCCTCCCCAATTTTGTAACTGTTGGAAAGAAAAAAAAATGTAAAATTAATAAAATCTAATTATAGAAGAGCTTAACAAAGGATATACCTGTCTTGGATGTGCAACAAACCACACGTGGCATGCATGGTGCTGCGCAAACCGTTTGATTTTAGTAAGCATTTGACTGACATACTCAGTTTCGGTCCTATCACCCAAGCCATAAGAAAAAATATAGAAGCATAGCTCAGGCGTAAAGAAGCATAAAAGGTCCTAAAAACTTTAAGGTGAAGTGAGGAAATGTTGACTTCTAGCATTCAAACTTCAGCATCTATCAATGAGTCAATAATCTAGCTACATTGCAATTCCAATATATTTGACAAATGATCAAAATAGACCCAAAGCTTTTTAGACATATCCAATTTGGTCTCAGAACTTTTTCCAAATAGTCAGTTTACTCCATCAACTCATTCAATCTAAACAAATTTGGTTCTACCCCCAACATTATCATTGCTGTTAATGGGAATTGGTGAAGGAATGCTTTTTTCTGAAAGAAGTTCAACTTTCTAGGATCAATCTCACCAATTTGAGCGGGATAAGATTAACTAAAAAAAATCCAAAATGCTTTAATGGAAAACTTCCTTTCCTATTTTTCATCCAAATCAATCGTAAAGTTGATGGTAAAACCAAATTGGCTCCTATTTGACGAGCCAAACTCAATTGAATACATGAAAAGTCTAAGACTAAAATGGGCGTACCTAGTAAGTTTAAAGACCATTTTGATCATTTAATCCTTGAAAAAGTGAAATTTCAAATATGCCTCCTATTTGAAACAAATATATATATATATATTACTAATATCCAAAACTCAAGTCATAAGCAAATAGCAAGAAGAGAAAAATAGATGGAAGTAGAATTCTCACTGATGAACAGATCGTTGGTGATCCAATTCATTATACGGATCAATAACAAGCCCACGTATACCATATCTTAGAACTGCAGCTTTAGCCAATGATAGAACCCAATTAACGGATGGAAGAGCATCATCATCACACCTGCTCCATAAGGTAAACAAGTAAGAAACAATTAACGAATGCAGCAATTAACGGATGGAAGAGCATCATCATCACAGCAGCTCCATAAAGTAAACAAGCAACAATTCACAGATGCAGCTACAAAAATGTCGCATGAGATATCCACCCATGCCCCAGAAAAGAACAGAAATAGTAATTACACCAACATTTTTCAAATTTGAGAAACTCCAATAAGCATTGCTGAAGGACTCACCGAATAAGATGAAATGTATCACTAAGCCATTTTTTTCCTTCTTCTAACTCCGCAGGGCTCATTCGCTCGACAGATTCTCCGTATCTATGATAACATAGAAATAAAAAAAAAGAAATTTCGACATTGAAACTTTTTGTAAGTCCAGACAAGTAGATATTTAAACATGTTAATGTCCTAAGAATAGATGTTTGGCCTCAAAACCATAGTGATGTGAAAATCCAAGTCAAACAAACAGATAATAAGTTTCATGAAAGAAAGCGAGTAAAAACATGTGTCAATGAAACAGCCACATAATAAATTTAAGGGTAGAAAGACAGTGTACCCGCTAATGCTTATACAAATGTACTGATCCTCGCCAATATAGACTGCTACTTGGGAGCAAAAATGGACCCAGAGGCATATAAACCCAAGGTTACAATTTTATCATTTTGCCAAACGGAAAAATTATAATGTCCTATAATTGACATGGAGCTAGTTTGTTTTGTAAGAAATAAAAAATTTGAAAAGTAAAACTATGAAAATGACACTCAAATCAAGAATACAAAAGTAGATCAAAATTTTCATGTAAAGTTAAATAATATTTTCAAAATACAAAGTACATTAAAATAAGATTTAGAAGTTCAATCAAAACTAACGTTTTAGACGTGTTTCAGTTAGCTTCCTTGTTTCATGTATAGGAAAATCAGCACATATTTGGCATTAATTGCGTATAAAAATATTTGATTACCACATGTAACAGAAAAGCATTGTCACATACAGGTTTCCATTAATCTTACTGCACTTAGAAAAGCAGCAAGCCATGATTCCAAACTTGGGTATTCTCTTGGTGACCACATCGGCCTTGAGAAATAGTGAAGTAGTTCACAATGTATATTGGTAAATGCAATTAAAAATAAAATTTGATATCTTCAAAAATAATCTAAATACATGTAACAGAAAAACATTGTCAAATACAGGTTTCCATTAATCTTACTGCACTTCGAAAAGCAGCAAGCCATGATTCCAGACTTGGGTGTTCTCTTGGTGACTACATCTGCCTTGAGAAATAGTGAAGTAGTTCGTGATGTATATTGGTAAATGAAATTAAAAATAAAATTTGCCGTCTTTAGAAATAATCTAAATGGAAGAATCTCCTAATTGTTAATATAATGCAATAAAAGGACAACTACATCGAGCAGTGAATAACACAACCCATGAAAATAGATTCAACATGGCACTTGAAATGTGAACTGTGAAAGGATCCTAGAGTTATTTGGCACGAAAACCAAAAGCTACATTCAACCTAGTACCATCATAAACCACAAAACTGCACCTTCCTCCAAAAAGTGATTAGTGCATGTTCCTTGGTAAAAAGAAAAGAAATACAATAATCACAAGATCAGTCCTTAATCCCATTAGGAATCCTTGAATAGAAAAATCAAAATAAATATCCCACTATCAATCATTGAATTGAAAAATCAAAAAATATAGAATTTCAACGTTAAATAGTAGATAAGCAAGTAAACCAAACTGTTAACTACGTATTAGTGCTATAATGTTATAACTATGGAAAGGAAAAGAAAGCCCATTATCATATGACATCAACAAAAACAATTCTGAGTCTATCAGCATCCAGGCCTAGCCCAATTATGCGGCTGCATCCTATTAAATATTACACATATATCCTCATCAATATAGATTGACCAATACAAGTGTGTTAATATGCATGACACATGTAAACTGAAGGGGTGCCTTTATTAAAATGAAAAATCCAACCCTTCAAGATATTGTCTAATATAAAATATTACTTCTGAATCCCATGTCATGGGTGGGTCAGAATACTATTATACAATCATGTGGGTTGTTATTCATATCTTTAAGCACTGATTTTACTAGTTATGAATGTCCATGCTGCAGCCAGCAAAAGTGGACTGCTGCAGTCCATCTGTATTCAAAAATTTTGATTTCTAGAAGACAAGATATAATGCAAATAATCGAAAGCAAAGGAAGTGAGCATGGAAATAAGCATAATGATATTACAAAATTTGTGGTGCACTAATTATTTTACTTCCTGTTTTAAAAATTTGTCTTCGATGTAACTTACCTGTCATATTGACACTTATGAGATCCAAATGTGTTCCCTAATCATTTGATTATCTTCTTATGTTTGATTTACCTTTGGAAATTATTTCAATTTAACATCAATTTCAACATATTCCAATTGCATTACATCCTAGAGTTGGGGCACACTTTGCGCTATCTCCTCTTTTCGTCGTAGATCTTTGCAAAGCTGAAGTGTTACAATTTTAGGTTTCAGTTTGTAGTAGTTCATAGAATAATAGAATTGTTAGTTGCCTTTGTGGCTCTTTCCTTCTATGACTTTCCCTCTATTTTGCAAGATTCAACAAGAGTTTCATACATGCTTTATGAGAAGATAGCCATCTGCCGGTTCCCCCTTGTCATAATTTTATCACGCATTCACTTAATATTGCGATTTCTACCACACTCAACCTAGTTATCAATAATCTTTTTATCACATAATACTTAGATCCCTTCTAGACCGGCACCTATGTTATTTTCCGCCATGCCAAGCCCACTAAATAGTTTGAAGACTTACTTTAGGACCTAGGCTAAAGGGAAATTTAGTAATTTATTATTTATTATGGTTTGGTAAAAATAGGGCTTAATAGAAATAGAATTAGGGGATCTATGATTGTTGTCTTGAATCGTAGAGTTGGGGTTTGGGAGAGATAGCCCACCTCTCGAATTTTAGCTAATAGGGTTAGGATTTGAGAAAGATGGTCTACCTATCGAATAGTAGACACATCTTTTATGTATTCGGATTGTGTTATTTTGTGCTAGTGAAACAATAATATTTTGTTTGCACTAATCTATGTGGAAGCTCATCTCTTTCCTATCAAATTTGTATCAGTGCCCGCCAAAAATTGTTATCTTGAATCTTAGGGTTAGAGTTTTGGAGAGATTTTCAACCTCTTGAATTGTAAGTGTTACGGTTAGTGTTTTGGAGAGATCACCAACCTCTCGAATTATAAATGCTTTACTTTTATGTAGTCAGGTTATGTTTTCAAATTTTAGTGAAATAACATATTTAATTTGCCCTAATCTCTGTGAAAGTTCATCTCTTTCCTATCAAATTGGTATCAAAGCAATCGATCTCTGAAAAGAAACGATGGGAACGTGATACACTCGCATCAGCCGAAGACGAGATTGCGATAGAATCACGGTAAGAGCTAGCTGGGAAACCGATGACAGGATCGCGATAGTCGGGAAGCCGAGAACGCGATCATGTATAGGTATCATATTAGAGAAACCAACCAAGGGATTGGATGTACCCTAGTCATGATCCGAGAAGCAACCACGAGATAGTGGTTATCCTAGTGACTGAACCTTACGATCTGAGAAGCCAATGACGAGATTGCAACATTCTTGTCGCGATTCAAGCTTGCTGGGAAGCCAAGACTGGATCACCGCTTACAAACAATTGCATAGTCACGATTCGGGCTAACAAAAAGCCAACAAAAGGATTTCAGTGAAAGAATCGGTAAACCAAATCATAAATGAAATAGATAAGCATTTCTCATCTATAGAGAGGTGGTTTGAGGGGAGATTCACAAGCCTGAAAGAAATGATAAAGAAGATTTCGAAGTTCCACACAAACTCATTGCCTCCTGCAGCAAGAGCGAGTGATGACGTCATAAGTGAATGTGAGCAACCGTTGCGCAATATGAAGACAGCGTCGTTGCCTTAGTCGGATCTATAGCCGCGAGATCAAGAGGAGTCGGGAATGGATTTTAGCGTTATCATATGAAAGGAATTACACGACATCTTCAGGTTTGGAACGAGCGATAGTTGACAGAATGTGATAGCGTTCGATTGGGGGAAGGAGAAGATCGATTCAAAGGATTTCAGCCTGGAACAAGGAACCACTGTGAGTGGAACCCAATTGGAGGACTACATCCAACTGCGCCAATGCTTTTTGATGTGGTAACCTTCTGGGTGAAAGGCGATTCAAGAATCAATGGGGACTGAATAGATGATGATGAGGTGAGGCAAACTTATGGGAAAAAAGAAAATTTGTGTCAGTGTGCGCCCATACCAGCTAACCCCACACACAAAAAGACGAGATCGATATAATGATCAAAGAGATGTTGTAGGCTATGATCAAAAAGACCATTGTAACCCCTTCTCTAGCCTAGTCTTGCTATTAAATAAAAAAGATAGGAGTTGGATTTTTTGTGTGGATCATCGGGTAGTGATTAAAAAAATAATATCTCACAAATTTTCCATCCTGGTAATCGATGAGCTACTAAACGAGTTGTGTGGGGATGCAGTATCTTCCCATATTGACTTGAAGTCAAGATACGAACATATTCGGATACAGCCAAAGAATGTGCACAAGATTACATTTCACATTCATGAGGGTCATTACAAACTTTTAATGAAATGAAAAGGCTTATCAGATAATGATGCCACATGGAAGCCATGCGACTTAATCCAATAGCAGTTTGCTCTTTCCCACTTGAGGGCAAGGTGTTTTTTTGGGAGGGGAGTAATGTTTGACTGACACTTAGTACGCTTTACGCCATGCCGAGCACACCAAGTAATTTGAAGACATATTTTAGACAAATAATTTTATTAATTATATTTATTAATACTTAGTATAAATAAATCTTAATAGGATTAGCGTTAGGGGATGTGTGATTGTTGTCTTGAACCTTAAAGTTATAGTTTGGGAGGGATTTTCTACATCTCGAAATGTAGGTGTAAGGGTTGAGAAAGACCGCCCCGACTCTCGAATTGTAGATACTTATCCTTTATGTATTCATGATGTTTATTTTGTGTTAGTGAAATTAAATATTTTGTTTGCTCTAATATTTGTGAAAATTCTTCTCTTTTCCATCAATCTCATACAACGTAATCAACTTAATTGTGATTCCATAAATTTTCATTTAAGACTGATATATTCGAATCATATAGTGTTATTATGTAAAAACAAATAAAAATAATAGTGATGATAAAAAAAATAATTCAAACTAACATGACGATTCAACAGAACCGGTTAAGGCAAGTTTGTCAATTAGGAG